GAAACAAAGAATATTTCTTGCTAGTGTTAAGGAGAAAACTATTTTCTCTTTTATTTTCTCTCTTGGCCGTGTGCACTAAGTGAATTTTTGGTCGGCCAAATTTTCTCTCCCTTTTTTCCTTTTTTCTTACTCGAATTTTCCTTCTCCCTCCTATATAATTATAGGAGAGTTTCCTTGTCCTCCAAGAACAAGGAAAGTGGTGGCTTTGAGTCCATAAAGGACTCTAAGATGTTGCTTTCTTATCCTCCAACAATGACAAGTTATTTTATATGTAAACTATTTGATTATTATTATTAAAACATTCAACCTTATCTAATAAGATTAATGCTTATCTTTAAAACATTCAACCTTATGCAATATGTTTATCCTCCCAACAAAATTATCTTTAAGCTTTTTAATTAAATCTAATGGGCCAAAACTATTTTAACCCAATTAGTTTATTTGGACTATCCAAATAAATATTCTTATATTATTTTGGCGGGGTTCATATTAGGAAACAATTTCTCAAAATACCATTTAACCTAAATTAGGAAACTCCTTTCCTTTTAGGTTCTTTATTTTTAAATTTGAAACTAATTTCCAAATTAGGAAACCAATTTCTAAAATAAGAAACTTTTCATTTTTGAAAACTTTTCATTTTGGAAACTCTTTCCAAAATAAGAAACTTTTATAATTGGAAACTTTTTCAATATCTTTGCTTTTCATTTGTAATGTGAATATTTAAACTTATGCATGTGACTCAATAGGCTCCTAGATATGTTGGCAATGTATTAAGAATAAAAGACTTCTTTTTAATCTCTTGATACATAAATCAAGATTGGCCTCTAGCAAGGCATCATGATTACCCAATTCTCTAAGAGGATTAGTTAATCCATTATTGACTTTCACGAGTATGGTTACCATATAATTCAGTAGTCATGTCAACTTATCACAATATGATCTCAAACTTGATAATTAGTCTTGTTCGATTATAATCACATAAGTTTTCTTCGATTCTCAAATGTCTTAGCTCTTAGAGTAAACCAATTATGCTCCGTTGGTGTACTCCTACTATGGCCATGGATTTCTTGAGCAGATATTTATCGAAATGTAATATGATAACTCCTTTAGTATACAAGGAATGACATGTCTTATCTTAGTCATACTCCTACCTTCATTAGATTTCTAGTGCATCCAACAAATCGCCCACGTGCAACCCATTAATGGTCTATCGAAACGAGTGTCAAAGTGCATAAATCCTCCAATAAGATAATCATGACGACTTCAAGTCTAAGGACCATTTATACCCATCTCATATAAGATTCCCATAGACTAAAACCAAATGAATTCTCATGGTGAGTCAAGTCCAGTGACATGTTCTCTAACATAAATCACCTAAGCGCTTGTTTTGACATCACCATGCCAATATGTGTGAGATCTTCTATCGCTATGATATAGCATGAGCATAGCACTCATAAGTTTATCTCGCATTTTTCAATGTCCATTCTTGATAATGCTACGACTTGGGACATTTAATGATATTATTTATATGCATTAGTGTTTGTCTCACATCTTTCGATCAATCACTATTGCAAATGCATATCATAAGGACTTCTATCTAATTCTACCGACCATGTAAATAAAAGAATTAACGAATGACTTCTTTATTATTATTAAAATAAATAATACAATGATACATTAACTCAAGCCCATCCATACATGGTTGGATCTTAAACACCTACACTAACAATTTTAGCAACTCTACCATGTCTTCTTTTTCCAATAGAAACCGTTTAAAAACTTTCACTTTGTAATTATTGGGCAAGTAAGTTAAGTGAAGAGATGGAGAATATCCATAAAGAGCCTTAAAATAAGTGGTAGAGTGAAAAGTATTGTACCAATACTCTTCCAAACACATCCAACGAGGCCAATTAGAAGGGATTGAAGAAGTCATACACCTAAGATAGGTCTACAAACATCGGTTAACCACCTCTGTCTAACCATCCGTTTGAGGATGGTAAGCTATAGAAAATTTCAAGAAAACACCTTGATAAGCAAGGAGTTCCCTCCAAAATTTGCTCAAAAAGACTAGATCTCTGTCGAAATGATGTTCTAAGGCGGATCATGAAGTTTGAACACACCTTCCATAAATACCTTTGCAACTGAACTAGCGAGTGTAAGGATGATTTAAAGATATAAAGTAAGCATACTTCATAAGCCTATCCACCACAACGAATATGATAGATTTCCATTGGGATATAGGCAAATCTTTAATAAATTCCATGGTTATATCTCGTAAATATAGCTTTTGATAAATATAAACGATTAAGCAACCCAAGTGTAGCTACATTCTCATACTTGCATTACTGGGATGCCCCGTAACTATGAATGAATTCCCTCACATCTTTGTAAAATCCCTCCTAATACGGTAGTTTGGCCACCCATTTACTCGGTAACCTCAATACCAAAATGTCCACCTGCTACGGACTCATGAAATACCGATATTAATTCCTTTCGCAAGTCCAAATCCTTACCAACTACTAATTTACCTTTTCTCCTTAACCGGTCATCCTAACAAGTGAATTCTAGATATGAACCACCGAAAACCTTTAGTCGCTTAATTACTTTCTTTAGCTAAGGATCCAAAAGCCATGAAGACTAAATTTTGGACATCAACTCGTAGACACTACTTTCATAGGTAAAGTAATCAACTCCATTCTAGATAAAGCATCAACGACCTTATTTTCACTTCCCTTTTTATAAACAATGGTATAATCATATCCCATCAATTTCACTAACCAAGTCAACTAACTCCGTTGCGTGAATTCTCTACTCTAATAAATGCTTCAAACTTTGATGATTAATGCGAATGGTGAAGTGTTTGTCCCCTAGATAGTGATGTCATTTCTTTACTACAAACAAGATAGCAAATATTTTTTTTCATACATAAATAGTGATTGATGAAAAGAGAAAGAAACTTACTAATGTAAGCAATAGGATGCCCACCGTGCATCAAGACAACCCTAATTCCAACCCTAGAAGCATTTGTCTCAATTATAAACTCCTCTTTTAGATTTGCCAAAGCCAACACAAGAGTTTTCATAATTGTCTTCTTTAGTTTCTTAAAGGCGAAATGACTACCAAGGTCCACACAAACCTATCTTTTTCGATAAATCCGTAAGAGGTTTGGCTAACTTGCCATAATTCCATATGAACCTTCTATAATACCCAATCAACCCCAAAAAACCCCTCGGTTACTTCAAAGTTTATGGAGTCTCGCCATTGCTAAACCGAGCTAATCTTTTTAGGGTTAGTTTGAACCCTTTCGCGTAAATGAAGTATCCTAGGTACTCTACCTTTGGAGTGCCAAAGGTACATTTTGATTTCTTTATAAACAATTATGCTATCTTAATATATTCAAAATGATTTTAAATGTTGTAAATGTTCCGATAAGTTTTTGCTAAAATCAAGTATGTCATCAATGAAAACCAAAATAAATTTTTGAAGAAAAGGTTGAAAAATATCGTTGATCAAGGATCGAAAAGTACTGGGTGCATTTGTCTAACCAAAAGGCATTACCAAACATTCGTAATGACCATTGGGTGTTCTAAAGGCAATTTTTGAAATGTCTTGAACATTCATTCTTATTTGGTGATACCCAAGCACATAAGTCAAGGTTGGAAAAGATAGTAGAACCATACAATTCCTCTAAAAGCTCTTCAATAATAGGTATAGGAAATTGATCTTTGATAGTCATTTGGTTTAGCCTTCTATAATCCACATACAGACCTTTAAGTATTGTGTTTTTTCTTCACTAAAACCACCGATGAAGAGAAAGGGGTAGTACTTGATTGTATGATTCCATTTTCTAACATTTCTATTGTTTGTCTTTCGATCTCATCCTTTTGAATAGGTGAGTATTTATAAGGTTTCATCCAAATAGGTTCTACACACTCCTTAAGAACAATGTGATGGTCATGAGATCTATAAGGATGTATGCCATCCGATTCTTTAAAAATATCCATAAATTTTTTTAAAACAATTCAATTTCTAAAGGAATAACATGATCCACTTCTATGCCATAAACCTCTACCTCTCTGTCTTCCCAATCTAAAATTTGATTCAACTGTAACCAGTTCAAAGGCTGTTGCTTGCCTAAAACTTTGTCCACCTACTTCTCTTCTTCATTTTTAAGCACCCTCACATCTGTACTTATAATTTAAACATCCTGTCCTTTAGAAAGAATTTAATCCACATGTCTTTGAAATTCCAATTAATGTCTCCCAATGCATATAACCATGCAATACCCAAGATTAACTCATACGCCCCTAATTGCATGACAAAAATAGTAGTCTGAAACACTCTACCCTGCATCTCTTAAGCAAAATCCATATAGACGTATTCACAACAAGTTTCACTACCATCAGCTACCTTAACAGTGATAGATGCAATCTTGACTAGCTCACACCCATATGTTCTTGCAAATGTCACATGTATAAAGTTATGAGTACTCACTTTGTCAATCAAGACCTTCATTCTTTTCTTTTTAAGGTCGTTTCATTTCTTCTTTTGAAGTTCCTGCATTTCTTAGTTTTGATTTTTGTATATGATTTTTAGATGTGTTATTCAGTGATTTGAAATGAGATCCAATATGGGTTTTGTATATTTGGATGCATATGTGCTTAGCAGTTTGTTTTGAGGCAAAAGCTGACTGTAGCGGCCGAAAAGATCGTAGCAATGCTCCCATTCTATCCCATTAATTGTTTGGACAACTCTCCCTGAAATAAATTGGCTGTCAGTCCAAAACAAAAATTAAACCAAACAAGTTATAAGAATTGCTTCAAGCAATGACAAATCACAAAGCATGGTATGTTACAACCATTAAACCAATATAATGCACATTCCTTTCCTTTAAACCTGGAAGGAAATAATGTTCAGTAGAACATGTCTTGCTTATGTACAAAACATTAGAATCAAACCTTTCTGAATGTGGTTCCTAGGCCATTCCTCTTGTAATGACCTTAGGAAGCCTTCTTCTGTTTATATTTCTTGGCACAAACAATGTAGATCAACATGTTGGCGAAGCTGAGTCCAGCTAAAAGCCAGAAGAAATAATCAAGGTGCCCATTATTCAAGTTATCTGGAATCCATCCGGTCTCCCCACCTGCTGTTGTGAAGTAAGTTACCATATTCAGAATGAAGGAGCTCAGGTAACTACCGAAAGATACCGTCAGGAGAGCAAATGCAGTGCTTAGACTCCGCATGGCATCTGGAGATTGTTCATAGAAAAATTCTATCTGACCAATGGCTGTAAAAACTTCCGCCACACCCATCAGCATACACTGGGGAATTTGCCAAAGGATACTAAGAGGCACCTCGACAGCTTCACCAACCAGTCCAAGCTCCTTTGCAAGCTGCAAGCGGTTAATCTCTACCAATGCTGCAGCTGTCATTGATAGTGTCGAAATGAACAAGCCGATTCCCATACGCTGCAACTCTGAGAAGCCCCTCTCTTTGCCAGTGAACTTTCTTGCAAGTGGAACGATAATCCTATCATAGATTGGGACCCAGCAAATAACACCAATAACATCAATTGTTGACATAGAAGCAGGAGGGATGGTGAAAGAACCAATTGTCTTGTCCATCAGCATCCCTTGTTCCACAAACAATGTACCCATTTGAGCATTGACAGCAGAAAAAATAATTCCTGTAGCCCAGATTGGAAACATGCGGATCAAAACCTTCAATTCCTCCACCTGAGTCACAGTACAAAGCCTCCATGGATCTGCGAAGTCCCCACTTTTGATCTCAGCCTCCGACAGTACAGCAGCTTTATCAAGACACCTACAAGAAATTAGAATATAGTTAAATTTTAATTGGGAAAAGATTGCAATGGCTTTTAAATGTTGAAACTTCTACAAAACATACTAAAGTAAGAATAAGTTAATACAAAACTATTAAAAGACAATCATTTAAGAGATAAAGCAAGCCTGTGGAACCCATCTTTCCCGTACTCCTTTGATATCAGAGATGATAAATATATAAAGATGAGAGAAGAATTCTAGAAGCATAAATTTGCTCTCCAGTCTTTTCTCTAGAACTTAACATGGTTCCACTACTCTATAATCTAAAATTTCAAATGAAATTGCAAGAAAACCTTCAAAAGACAAAGTTCAGAGGAAAAGAGATTGGATAAACGATCATACATCCATCACCAGACTTTACCAACACCTATCCAACTGAAAATTCAATGATTGTTCTGCATACTGCTAGATAGAGAATCAATACAAAGTCTTGCATAAAACATAACTATTAAAAATTGAAAAATAAGAGGAATTGAACTCCACTGAATATGAAAATTTTCTGTGTAATCTGCACATCACTTTACATAAAAACTCATATAAGTTACGCTCAAACTGTTTCAAATAGTGAGAGCTAGCTAGTGAAACTATTCTTAACCACTTTTCACAGCTAATGAGTTACTCTTGCATTAAGAAACAGATGATTCAACTCTGGTGGGGTGTTTAAACTTCAAACTCGGTGTATTTTGATCGTGTGTATTTGACTGGATAACAAGCACTTATGATAGCAAAACACAAAACAAATCACAACTGAGGAAAGTAGATCAGATGAGGAGAAAGAAGAGGATAATTACTTCAATTCCTTGCTGTGCACCAGTTTCCGGCTTCCTTCAATAGCGGAGTGTTTTTCTTCTGTTTCATATAGGAGACTACTGTCTTGGGGGACCTCCAGATTCCACTTATGGAATGACGCAACCACAACTTGGCACATTCTTGTAAAAGGGCTCCCCCGGGACTCTGAAATCTATAAAGGGGTGTGCCTGAAAAGAAGACTGCAATAGCTATGCCCATGAACAGTGCAGGAATTCCAAATCCTATACCCCAACCAGCATTGTCTTGGATGTATACCAATAAACTACTTGATATAAGACTACCAATGTTGATAGAAAAATAGAACCAATTGAAGAAGGATCCCTTCTTTACCCGTTCCTTAGGATCAGTGTCATCAAACTGATCCGCCCCAAAGGATGAAACACATGGTTTGATGCCACCCATCCCAAGTGCAATCAAATAGAGGCAAAAAAAGAATACTGCATACTGAGCCGGAGTTGCTGGAGGGCACACAGAACCTACACATTCAGCTGGCTTTAAAGCAGGAATAGATGCTGAGAGAGTCAAAGTACACATTCCCTGCACCAATTACATGAAGAAGTTATCCAACACTTCAAGAAAACAATATAGATTACATCTAGCAAAAAAGTGACCAATCCAGGCGTAAAAGAAACTTAAACCTCTCTTGGCATAGTGACTACTAACTAAACTTCCTGACACAAAATAAATAAATAAATAAATAATAATAAATAAAATTCACAAATTCGATGAGAAGGCTCTTCATAAAAGTTGTCCTGGCATGAATATAACAAGGAACTTTTCCATTGCTAAACATTGATAGTATAAATCTATAAGAAAGAAAGGTTGATAGAAGTAGAAACTGTTGTTTAGCAGCAGTACCAATGCCGTTGACCAAATGAAATGAAATAAGAACCAGAGAAGCCCCATTGACTTGAGAGATGTGAGCAAGAGTAGGAGCTTATGTTCCAATGAAAGAAATATAGAAGTAATCAATGATGCAGGCAAAGAATAGAAATAATGACTTCATGAGTTCATAATTACAATGAAGTAAATTGTGGAGAAAGCAGCAATTGTCCAATATCGTCCCCAGTAAGCATCTGCCAACATGGCGCCAATGAGGGGAGTAAAGTAGCAAGTTCCAGCCCAAATGTTGACACTTTTTGCAGCTGAAACATTTCCTTCGTGTAGCTTGTGGGTAAGATAAGTGACGAGATTAGTAGCAATTCCATAGTAGGCTAAGCGTTCACAGCATTCATGTCCTGTATGTGGTATGATAAACGTCAGAATGAAAGTAGGCTACATAATCATGCACTAATGTGAAATGTAATATAAGTACCCAATATGAAAGAGCATGCTTTCCAATTTCCAGTCTTCTGCTTAAGAACAGGCTTCCCATTAATGTCGACTGAGCCATCTCCTGTGTGGAGTCCATTACTTCCATTCTGAAAATATAATAACAAATTGCATGCGAGAATGCTTGGTGCGAGATACAAATAATTTTAGCTTTAACAGAGTGTTTAATGGACACCTATAATGACCACAGAAAATAAGAGGTAATCTCAGTCATGCCTGGTTCATTCTGTATACAGCATAAACAGTAAGCACAATCACAGTAAATGGACGCGGCAGTGCATCAATATGGCAACACACAAATTCTAAGAACTTATGAAGACGAGGATTCACAGCTAAGGCACGCCCCAATTCACACCAGAATGCAAATCACAGAGATTGGTTGAAAAAATTGATTTTAAAATTTGGCTAACTTGTAGTTGCCTAGATGCAAGACAACCACAGTTTTTGTTTTATATTTTTTTATCTTTTTTTTCTTTTCCAGAACAATCCTATGTTAAACAGACTTCGGATAGATATCAGATATAGGTAACTTTCCAAGCATTGGACTCGAATGAAAATTAGATTTTCTAGGAAAATATGGTAGCTCAAGAAAATTGAATATCTTTTCCTGGAGAATAAAATGCATCCTTTGTGTCTTAATTTGGAATTGAGTCTCGTATTTCTGATAAGGACATGAGTGATACCTCTATCATGAAATTATCGAAACTTAGCTATTCCTCAATCAATGCAACATCAAATAAGAAAAACACGAGCTGACTGCCAAGTATGAACCATGCACCCAGCAAAACTAAATATCATAAAGAAATGATTACTTTAGCTAAGCTATTTTCCTTCTTTTTTTTTTTCTTTTTATGAATGCGATCAGGATTTCATTAATGAAAAATAAGAGTTTACAAAACAAGCCAATAAGTATATGGCTAAAGAAGTGCCATGTTAAAGCAAAATCAAGAACTGCTGACCACAGGACAGTCAGCAACAAATCCCAGAAATAAGTGTATAGCATTCAATAACTTGTTATAAAGGATTTATACAAAAGACCAGAAGAATCGGTAACATAGAGAGTGAGGGGGAAACCTGTTCTAGGAGTCCATCTTCCAAGAACAAAGCCTGTTCCTCAACCGAATCCATGTTTCTCTTTTTTGTGTCTTAAAAGTCTTAGCATTCCAGTTCCAATATCATGGGTGTGTGTTCTTATGCCAAAAAAAAAAAAAAAACACTTTTGTTATTATTTAAATCAGTTAATTAGGAGTCCATCTTAAAATCAACATTATTTTGTTTCGTTTAAATCTATTGGTTTACTTGAGTTTTCTTCAAACCTTGATATCTTATTTGATCTTTTAGATCTTAACTATTCTTACTTTATAGATATAGTTTGATCGTGAGGATATTATCTTCACATGGGATCGGTTTTTTTTTTTTTTAAATAATAATAATTGATGGCACTATCATATCTATTTTTTTAGCCTACAGGAACTAGATCGAACAACTGTTCAGTTTTGGGTTAAACAAGTATGAGATATGACAAAATAACATGTCATAAGGACAATAATACCCTTATAGCTTCTCGTGTATATAAAGATAAACCTAATAATCCAATTCTTTTTTCTTTTTCTTTTTTTTAAGTATATAAATAACTAATCTAATATTTTAATTTGAATTAATCAATAAAATTAATTTATATATGTTAAAACATAAATAATTTTGTATTGTGTTATTTAGTTCTTATTTGTTTCGTAAATAAAATAATTATTTTTATTATTTATTGAAATATTTGTTAAAAACAACTATTTTATTTTAAATGGTTATTTGATGTACTTTCTCATTTAATTACTACTCATTTATTTTATCTATTAATATATTTTATCACGTTCATCAATAAAATTATTATTTTATTTTTCTATTTAAAATTTTAAATATTCAATTAATTTTATTCAAATTTTGAAAGTATTTATTTAAAAATAATTTTTTACACACATATATATATATGGAAAAAAAAATCAAAGTCCAAATAAATGAAGGTCGTTTTGAAATTTAAGGAAAATGGAAACTATGCTTATGTTCGGAGGAAGATGGTAGAATTGACGTTCGAACCTAAAAGATGAGAAAAGCTCTCCCTTATCCTCTACCATATATGATATATGTACAGATACACTTCGACTTCCTCTTTTGTGCTGTCTTGCGTAGCAAAGGTGTCCCTAGTTTAACTAGAGTCTATAGAATATCCAATTACCAAATTCACAACAATTCTTTGAGGTATTACAAGTCTTTAAAATTAAATATTTTTCACAAAAGTAAGTTTGTGTCTTACTATATGTTCTTATAAAATCCAAAATGTACATTTGAATTTTTTTAAAAAAAAAAAAACTTCACGACAAGTTAATTTGTTTTATTATGTATTTTTTTTTTTTACTTATATTTTTTTGTGGATTGTTTTCCCTAAAAATTTATTTTTAAAAAAATTAAAAAAATTATCATACGATTTTGTGTTAATTGTTATATTTAAAAAAAAATTAAAAGTACCTAGTCATGCTAATGATCATTAAACTTTTTATTTTTTAAAAAATAAAATTTATAATTATGAAAAATTACATTTTATACTTTTGGAATTGTAATTTCATTTGAATATAATATTAATTATAACATAAGAAAAAACATATTACAATCCTAAACTATTTTACGAGTAATTGGACATTCAAAAAATTATCATGAAAATATTAAGTAAACTAAAAGAAAAGTCAATTAAATGTTTCTTTTTTTAATCTATGAAAAGGGTAATGTATGTTGCACAATTGAATATGAATTTTCTTGAAAGATAAGTCATAAAATTGAACTTATTAGTTTCAAAAGATTCTATTTTTCAAAAATGAACTTATATATACTTTTTTTTTTCAGCAAAGTAAAGTAGGATAAATAATTCTAGAATTTTTGAAAATAGATCCACTACATTACTTTTGTTTATTTATTTATTATTGAATTAAATAGATGATCATATATTATGTAAAAAACATTGTGCTTTTTATACTCATACATATTTGGAAGGAAGAAACTCCGTTAATTTAATGACATCAATTCTGCCATAGAATCACTAAATTCCATCACTCCAAACCTAATACTCATAGCATCTATATAATCTGTCCAGTTCAATATTTCATTAGATCCATACATTCTCACATACACTTATGACATTCAAAAGCTTCTCCTTCCAACCGGATAGCAACCAAATTCATTCTAGATTCGTTATGTGTTCCGTCTATTGAGAAAAATTTCTCACACCCGAATACCCAACCTTCAAAATATTCACCATTAAACTTAGGAAATTCCAATCTAGATATCCCGGTCTTATACCGATAACCAAAATTACTTCCTCCATAACTATTTCCCATAGGATACCATACTTTGACCTCCTAAACCCTTCCTTATCCAAATTCCTAGTTCCATCATCAAGAACATCACTACCGTGATTGTTGTTCGTTTCTTCACCAATGGACTCTTAACTCCTTTCACCACTTCTTTCAACCCAAACAATTTCATAGTCATGCTTTTCAAATGCAGTATTACATTTATTAGAAAGATTAGTAATTACCTTTGATAACTCGTTAATTGTTTCCTCCATCCTCTTAAGATCCATATTCGTTTTCTCCATTGTTATTACTTTCACGTTGCTTTTTCCACGAGCGCCAAAATCAAAGCTTTGATACCAATTGATGCGAGTTCCAAATCTGAAATTGAAGAACTCAAGAGAAATCATAATTTTACAAGAGATTGAATAAAAAATCCTTTATTAATCAAGAAATCTTTGAAATATCAACATAATACAAAAAGAATCGAAAATAAAGAAGAATAGAACAAAGTGAATTGTAAACCAATTTTTCAAAAGGAAATGATAGTTGGTTTATAGAGGAAATTGCAAAGAGAATTACAAGTGAGAAGACCGAATGAGAAAGATTACAATTGTTTACAAAATCAATCCATAACCTTCACTCGTTTCTCATTCCTTTTTTAAGTGCTAGTCGTTAGAGACAATGCAAACGGTAACATAACCGTTTCTAACAACTAGCCACGTCAACTACCACACCAGCTTTGCTAACTAATTTTTAACAATCTGCTACATCATCTTTAACAACTTAAGTTATTTCTCCCGTGAATGATTTAATGAAAAATTTTATAATACATTAAGAGTAACTAGTAACATGTACAGTAGTTACTCTATTGGCCCACTTTGAGGAGGAAGATAGATACATAAAAAAAAATGAGAGAAACAAAAGAGAGAAAATAAAATTTGAGAATCTTCATATCACTTTTAATGGATATAGATATAATTTCTTCCTTTTTTGTATCTATCTCTCTCCTTAAAGTAGGCTCATGGAGTAACTACCGTACATGTCACTACTTATTCCTAGTGTATTACAAAATTTCTCCTAATTTCATAGCCCTTCTTGTTTATGCCTTACTTCATTTACAGATACAGCTTCCTTTAAATCTCAGCTTCTTCCCCCACCTATATCATTTTTTTTCTCTCTTTAGTGGAGAGAATTTTTCACAAAAATGTGGTGTTTGTATAATTGTGTTTTTATTATTTGATTTATTTTATACTTTTAATTATTATGTGTGTTTAACTTATTAATTTCTCACGAAATCTAATTCCCCGAATTAAGATTAAAATCCCAAAAGTTTCTAACAATCACTAATACTTTAGTGTTCATCGCAAAACTGCAGGCAGTTCCTTTTGTTAGCGACATCTTTTGTTAATTTTTGTTTATATTTTTCGTCTTTGGTGTGTATACCTTTTGCAATAAAAACAATGCAATTTCGAAGAAAAATTAATGGAAAAAGGTAATGAACATTAACAAAATAACCTAATTGGAGAGATGGGCTTTTTATGTTTGTATATGGTTTTCTATCGAATTACAGATCTCACGACATCATTATGGCTTAAAGAGAGCATTTTTCTTTCGTGAACAACAAAAATAAAAAAGAAATAGATGGCAAAAAAAGTAAGGTCGTTTCATTTCTTCTTTTGAAGTTCCTGCATTTCTTAGTTTTGATTTTTGTATATGATTTTTAGATGTGTTATTCAGTGATTTGAAATGAGATCCAATATGGGTTTTGTATATTTGGATGCATATGTGCTTAGCAGTTTGTTTTGAGGCAAAAGTTGACTGTAGCGGCCGAAAAGATCGTAGCAATGCTCCCATTCTATCCCATTAATTGTTTGGACAACTCTCCCTGAAATAAATTGGCTGTCAGTCCAAAACAAAAATTAAACCAAACAAGTTATAAGAATTGCTTCAAGCAATGACAAATCACAAAGTATGGTATGTTACAACCATTAAACCAATATAATGCACATTCCTTTCCTTTAAACCTGGAAGGAAATAATGTTCAGTAGAACATGTCTTGCTTATGTACAAACCATTAGAATCAAACCTTTCTGAATGTGGCTCCTAGGCCATTCCTCTTGTAATGACCTTAGGAAGCCTTCTTCTGTTTATATTTCTTGGCACAAACAATGTAGATCAACATGTTGGCGAAGCTGAGTCCAGCTAAAAGCCAGAAGAAATAATCAAGGTGCCCATTATTCAAGTTATCTGGAATCCATCCGGTCTCCCCACCTGCTGTTGTGAAGTAAGTTACCATATTCAGAATGAAGGAGCTCAGGTAACTACCGAAAGATACCGTCAGGAGAGCAAATGCAGTGCTTAGACTCCGCATGGCATCTGGAGATTGTTCATAGAAAAATTCTATCTGACCAATGGCTGTAAAAACTTCCGCCACACCCATCAGCATACACTGGGGAATTTGCCAAAGGATACTAAGAGGCACCTCGACAGCTTCACCAACCAGTCCAAGCTCCTTTGCAAGCTGCAAGCGGTTAATCTCTACCAATGCTGCAGCTGTCATTGATAGTGTCGAAATGAACAAGCCGATTCCCATACGCTGCAACTCTGAGAAGCCCCTCTCTTTGCCAGTGAACTTTCTTGCAAGTGGAACGATAATCCTATCATAGATTGGGACCCAGCAAATAACACCAATAACATCAATTGTTGACATAGAAGCAGGAGGGACGGTGAAAGAACCAATTGTCTTGTCCATCAGCATCCCTTGTTCCACAAACAATGTACCCATTTGAGCATTGACAGCAGAAAAAATAATTCCTGTCGCCCAGATTGGAAACATGCGGATCAAAACCTTCAATTCCTCCACCTGAGTCACAGTACAAAGCCTCCATGGATCGGCGAAGTCCCCACTTTTGATCTCAGACTCCGACAGTACAGCAGCTTTATCAAGACACCTACAAGAAATTAAAATTTAGTTAAATTTTAATTGGGAAAAGATTGCAATGGCTTTTAAATGTTGAAACTTCTACAAAACATACTAAAGTAAGAATAAGTTAATACAATACTATTAAAAGACAATCATTTAAGAGATAAAGCAGGTCTGTGGAACCCATCTTTCCCGTACTCCTTTGATATCAGAGATGATAAATATGTAAAGATGAGAGAAGAATTCTAGAAGCATAAATTTGCTCTCCAGTCTTTTCTCTAGAACTTAACATGGTTCCACTACTCTATAATCTAAAATTTCAAATGAAATTGCAAGAAAACCTTCAAAAGACAAAGTTCAGAGGAAAAGAGATTGGATAAACGATCATACATCCATCACCAGACTTTACCAACACCTATCCCACTGAAAATTCAATGATTGTTCTGCATACTGCTAGATAGAGAATCAATACAAAGTCTTGCATAAAACATAACTATTAAAAATTGAAAAATAAGAGGAATTGAACTCCACTGAATATGAAAATTTTCTGTGTAATCTGCACATCACTTTACATAAAAACTCATATAAGTTACGCTCAAACTGTTTCAAATAGTGAGAGCTAGCTAGTGAGACTATTCTTAACCACTTTTCACAGCTAATGAGTTACTCTTGCATTAAGAAACAGATGATTCAACTCTGGTGGGGTGTTTAAACTTCAAACTTGGTGTATTTCGATCGTGTGTATTTGACTGGATAACAAGCACTTATGATAGCAAAACACAAAACAAATCACAACTGAGGAAAGTAGATCAGATGAGGAGAAAGAAGAGGATAATTACTTCAATTCCTTGCTGTGCACCAGTTTCCGGCTTCCTTCAATAGCGGAGTGTTTTTCTTCTGTTTCATATAGGAGACTACTGTCTTGGGGGACCTCCAGATTCCACTTATGGAATGACGCAACCACAACTTGGCACATTCTTGTAAAAGGGCTCCCCCAGGACTCTGAAATCTATAAAGGGATGTACCTGAAAAGAAGACTGCAATAGCTATGCCCATGAACAGTGCAGGAATTCCAAATCCTATACCCCAACCAGCATTGTCTTGGATGTATACCAATAAACTACTTGATATAAGACTACCAATGTTGATAGAAAAATAGAACCAATTGAAGAAGGATCCCTTCTTTACCCGTTCCTTAGGATCAGTGTCATCAAACTGATCCGCCCCAAAGGATGAAACACATGGTTTGATGCCACCCATCCCAAGTGCAATCAAATAGAGGCCAAAAAAGAATACTGCATACTGAGCCGGAGTTGCTGGAGGGCACACAGAACCTACACATTCAGCTGGCTTTAAAGCAGGAATAGATGCTGAGAGAGTCAAAGTACACATTCCCTGCACCAATTACATGAAGAAGTTATCCAACACTTCAAGAAAACAATATAGATTACATCTAGCAAAAAAGTGACCAATCCAGGCGTAAAAGAAACTTAAACCTCTCTTGGCATAGTGACTACTAACTAAACTTCCTAACACAAAATAAATAAATAAATAAATAAATAATAAATAAAATTCACAAATTCGATGAAAAGGCTCTTCATAAAAGTTGTCCTGGCCTGAATATAACAAGGAACTTTTCCATTGCTAAACATTGATAGTATAAATCTATAAGAAAGAAAGGTTGATAGAAGTAGAAACTGTTGTTTAGAAGCAGTACCAATGCCGTTGACCAAATGAAATGAAATAAGAACCAGAGAAGCCCCATTGACTTGAGAGATGTGAGCAAGAGTAGGAGCTTATGTTCCAATGAAAGAAATATAGAAGTAATCAATGATGCAGGCAAAGAATAGAAATAATGACTTCATGAGTTCATAATTACAATGAAGTAAATTGTGGAGAAAGCAGCAATTGTCCAATATCGTCCCCAGTAAGCATCTGCCAACATGGCGCCAATGAGGGGAGTAAAGTAGCAAGTTCCAGCCCAAATGTTGACACTTTTTGCAGCTGAAACATTTCCTTCATGTAGCTTGTGGGTAAGATAAGTGACGAGATTAGTAGCAATTCCATAGTAGGCTAAGCGTTCACAGCATTCATTTCCTGTATGTGGTATGATAAACGTCAGAAAGAAAGTAGGCTACATAATCATGCACTAATGTGAAATGTAATATAAGTACCCAATATGAAAGAGCATGCTTTCCAATTTCCAGTCTTCTGCTTAAGAACAGGCTTCCCATTAATGTCGACTGAGCCATCTCCTGTGTGGAGTCCATTACTTCCATTCTGAAAATATAATAACAAATTGCATGCGAGAATGCTTGGTGCGAGATACAAATAATTTTAGCTTTAACAGAGTGTTTAATGGACACCTATAATGACCACAGAAAATAAGAGGTAATCTCAGTCATGCCTGGTTCATTCTGTATACAGCATAAGCAGTAAGCACAATCACAGTAAATGGACGCAGCAGTGCATCAATATGGCAACACACAAATTCTAAGAACTTAGGAAGACGAGGATTCACAGCTAAGGCACGCCCCAATTCATACCAGAATGCAAATCACAGAGATTGGTTGAACAAATTGATTTTAAAATTTGGCTAAATTGTAGTTGCCTAGATGCAAGACAACCACAGTTTTTATTTTATATTTTTTTATCTTTTTTTTCTTTTCCAGAACAATTCTATGTTAAACAGACTTCGGATAGATATCAGATATAGGTAACTTTCCAAGCATTGGAATCGAATGAAAATTAGATTTTCTAGGAAAATATGGTAGCTCAAGAAAATTGAATATCTTTTCCTGGAGAATAAAATGCATCCTTTGTGTCTTAATTTGGAATTGAGTCTAGTATTTCTGATAAGGACATGAGTGATACCTCTATCATGAAATTATCGAAACTTAGCTATTCCTCAATCAATGCAACATCAAATAAGAAAAACACGAGCTGACTGCCAAGTATGAACCATGCACCCAGCAAAACTAAGTATCATAAAGAAATGATTACCTTAGCTAAGCTATTTTCCCTTCTTTTTTTTTCTTTTTATGAATGCGATCAGGATTTCATTAATGAAAAATAAGAGTTTACAAAACAAGCCAATAAGTATATGGCTAAAGAAGTGCCATGTTAAAGCAAAATCAAGAACTGCTGACCACAGGACAGCCAGCAACAAATCCAACAGCTACCAAACTAAAAAAATAGGTAGTAAATCGTAACAATTGGCATAATCCAGCAGAAAGCAGCAGCAGGGGCCGGGAGAGAAGATCCAGACATGGCTAGTCACTGGCAAGAAACATGATCATGCCGAGCTGAAGTGCTCTAATTAGTACAATTTGAATTCCTTTTAACTAGTCCACGTTAGACTGGACGTAAACAAAATATATAATTTCACATTATCATTTTCTGAAAGAAGTTCAGCTCTTACACCTACTAAATGCCAATCAAACATAATTAATACATAGAGATATCATTAACTATGAAACAGTTCGTGCAAGAAATGTAAACCTTATTAGAATCACCATTTACATAGCTGAAAGCACAGAAGAAAGAAAACCCAAAATTTATCAAAAACAATTACTTGAAATCTCAATTTCTATTATTTCTTTGAATTCAATCTTGATAGATAAAACCAAGAGATCCCAGAAATAAGTGTATAGCATTCAATAACTTGTTATAAAGGATTTATACAAAAGACCAGAAGAATCGGTAACATAGAGAGTGAGGGGGAAACCTGTTCTAGGAGTCCATCTTCCAAGAACAAAGCCTGTTCCTCAACCGAATCCATGTTTCTCTTTTTTGTGTCTTAAAAGTCTTAGCATTCCAGTTCCAATATCATGGGTGTGTGTTCTTATGCCAAAAAAAAAAAAAAAAACACTTTTGTTATTATTTAAATCAGTTAATTAGTCGCGCGCTTCCCGCATCATATTAAAAAATAAAAATAAAAAAATCGATTGGCTCCTAATGTATTATTCTATTATCAATTAAGTCCAGAACTTTTTGATTTATCAGTTTATACAAATGTAATTGATATTAAACAATATCACCTATATATCCATACATATTGGTGGTAGTTAAAATATTTCGTCCATTTTTCATATGATCTTTAAAAATTTTATTTTCAACAGCATTATTTGAAAAACTTATACTCTATTCCATGGAATGAATTCTCAAAATATTGAAAAGAAAAAATATCACACAATAGAAATTTTGACAAATTATTTGGTTATATTTACTTTAAGTTGACAGTATTGCAAAAAAGTAAGAGAACAAAAGAGTTTTGGGGGGGGGGGGGGGGGGGGGGGCGGCGGCGGTAAGAAAAAATATAAAGATAATTATCTATAGTGAAAAAGTAATACTCAATTCTTTAAACTTATTAATAAATATAATTATGGAATAGTGGGCCCTTTTTTTTTTTTTTTTTTTAGGAAATTAGCAATTGAAATATGCAGCATTCAATAACTTTGAGTTCAAAAATATAAATTTAACCCATTTCTCATTATTTGAGGGGGTCAATAAAGTAAAATAATAAAAATTTGTGTTACTATACAAGTGCACTTTTGGAAATTGAGGAGCACCAATTGAGCCTCCTTAGTTGCATCGACTGTCATTAACTACTTCAAATATTAAAAGTCCATGTTGAACTAAATATCTTAAATCTATTATATGGTGGAGTGATAGCTTCCCAATCAATTATGTTCAGACAAAAATTAATCAAATTATAAAGTTTAGAACTCAATTGACAATACTGTTTTAAATTAGAGGCTAAATTGATGTTTCTTCTTGAAAATAAATCTTCTGACCTAATAAGTACAAAACGTCAAAATAGAATGCAATAAATGGAATATTATATAAGGTGGCTGTTGGCATGGTATCTTCTGTCAACTCCCACTCTCAATGATAATTATTTGTCTTCCTTTCCTATTTAAAATAGAACAACTACGACATCCAAACTGCGCTTGATACGTATAGTATTGAAGGGATGAGATTGAACATAATAGAACAAAACAAGGAGCATCTGTTCACATCTAAAATAAAAAGATTTCCCATGGAATCAGTGACCTCGAAGTAAAGGGCCAAATCGTGAAATTTTTTTGTGAAATGAGATCAAATTTGAAGGTTTAAGCAATTCAAGGGAACACATAAGATAAAAACAAGACAACTTTTATTTTCCAGTTGATGAAACTGCTGTACTTCCTTTCCGGGTTGTTTATTATTTGCCACCGAGACACAGCAACAAATTCGGAAGCAAATAATAATATTTTATGAATTGTATTTTATTAGAATCTTTGTGTATTTAATAAATATTTTTTAAATAGGAATTTACACTCCTAATTAGTCTAGTTTGGTCTTCAAATTTACTTGATCATGTTTAATATTCTCTGTAAATAGAAAAATGTGTTTGATGTAATTTTTTAGCCAGCATCAATACTCATAAATTCCAGCAAATTTACTTTTCAACACGATTATACTTTTTCTTTAACTTTATATTTTACCTTCATCCTTTGCAATTTATTTTTCTTTCAGCTACTAGTTTTATTAGGCTTTTTTTTTTTAATCTTAAAACCATTATTATCGCTACCCGACGTCGAATGGGACTCCCAAAAAAATAGATCTCATGGTATCACTAGTTTCATATCTTTATTTTATTTATAAAACTATTTGCGAGTTTGGAGTCGTCATCTAGTATTGAAAGAACTAGGAACCTCAAATTGGCACTCGGTTCGGAGATTCTATGATAAGGAGTCGGTTACGCTTATGGGAAGATAATTAATCACCCAAAAGTGCCCTTTACTAAGAAAGGTACCACATCTAGCTTAGTCCTAAATTATCTCCAAAAAAATTTTATTTTTGCCAAATTATTTTTCAATTTTTGAGACTCCAATTTTTTCAAGTCAAATTAAGTTTTTTATTTTTGAGCGTGGCATCGTATTGAAACGATCGTCGGACCCCTTCCGTCGGGAGACACGTCGGTTTAAACATCGGATCCATTTTTTTATCTCGACACAACCGGTGTGTCGGAAAACACTTGTTTATTAAAATGAATTTTTGGCTAACAACGGTCCCTATCGGATAGGAGACTTTGTTAAAAGTTTTATGATGATTTTTTTGTTATTTTTCTTTCTTTATTTTTTATTTATTATTATTTTTTTTTTGCATAAATACTATTATTTATTTTTTAATATTTTTTTATTTTTTTATTTTTTTTAGTGAAAGATTGTCATCGGTCCCTAAAAATTTAGGAGACTTGACGATCTTCTACTTATTACTTACCGAGCCTAATTCTAAACAAATAAATTAAAGCTACACGAATAAAAAAATCAAATACTGAAATTTAAATTAATAATAGGTATGCATAAAATAAATTCAAGGATAAATTCAAACAATTACAAAATATTAAAATGACAAATTCTAACTAATATACATAAATACTATTTTTTTATTTTCTCTCCCCCCCCCCCTTTTTTTTTACATGAAAGATTGTCATCGGTCCCTAAAAATTTAGGAGACTCGACGATCTTCTACTTATTACTTACTCAGCTTAATTCTAAGTAAGTAAATTAAAGCTACATGAATTAAATAAAAGAAATCAAATACTGAAATTGAAATTAGTAACGAGCATGCATAAAATAAATTTCGGATTAAAAATTCCATTACTTAAAATAATTAAAAAAAAAATAATTCAATAGCTAATTTTAATACGAAATAACAAAATCCCTAAAAAAAAAACTTACTCTTTTTCCTTACTTCTTCTTCTTCTTCTTCTTCTTTTTTTGGTTTTGGATCGGACAGTCCAATCTCTAGCCAAGTGGGTTGGGTTTAACCCAAAAACAAAACCCAAACTATATTTCTAAGAGTTTCGGATCAACAACCCATTTTTCATTTTTCTTTTCTTTCTCTCGTTGCCCGTCTTCTTCCTTTTCTCTTTCTCCTTTCTTTTTCTTTTTCTTTTTGCTTCGAGTCTGCCATGGACGAACCGAACGGAGTTCGTCCATGCTTCCCCCCTCTTTTTTTTTCTCTTCCCTTCTTTCTTATTCTTCTTCTTCCCTCTTTTCTCTCCCTCTCGAATTTTTTCGGGTCCGCTATGGACAAACCAGTAGAGGTTCATCCATGGTAGCTTAATTTTTTCTTTTCTTTCATTCTTTTCACCTTTCTTTCCTTCTTTTCCTTCCTTAAACAAAAACCCCCCAAATCAATTTCTAAATGTTCTTCCCCAATTTTGGTCGAAACCTTAGGTTTTCAAATTTTTTAATTTTCTTTCAATTAGGCTTGATTGACTTGAAATCAAGTTAATTCACACCCTTTAGGACTCAATTTTATCAAAACCCCCAAATCTATTCTTCAAATTTTTACAATTTCGTAAAAAATCCTAAATTTTAAATCGGACTTAAATTGTAACAAAAAACGAAATTAAAGAGAAATTAGAGGGATTACCTAAAAGAATTGGTTGGAATGGATGTGAACCGCCTTCAATTCGGGTAAATTTTATTTTATTTTTTTTCGGATTTTCTCTCTCTTTTTTTCTTTACTCGTCGATTTCCCCTCTCTTCTTCAATCGCTAACTCTCTCCTAATTTTGCGGGCTTCCCTCTTAATTAATTTGTTCTTGGACATCGGATCGAAGAAAAATCCCCCTTCCCCTCTTTTTGTGCTTCTTGCTATTTATATATATGTGTTTTTTTTTAAATGCTTGGTTGGTTCCCCCACTATGATGGTGGGGGATTTTCTCGGAGTTTTTGGAGTGGGCATGCCCGACCATTTTTGGTTATGGCTATGGCGAGTGCCGGTAAGGGAAAGGTAGTGCGATTCATCGCAATTTGCGGCATGGTGAGGTTACGGGAATTGGGGGATTACCCCGGAGATTGCTAGATATGGGGGAAGTGGTCCGGAGGGACTCGTGGGAGTTGTGTGGTCGAAGCGATGAAGGCTGCTGGAGGCACTTGTGGAGGTTGTGTGGTGATGCAACTCGCTGGAATTTACAGCGAGTAGGGTGGTTAGCGAGTGCAGAGGGTGCCGAGATTGTTGACTTGAGAGGAGTTGGGCACTGCAAGTTGACAATTTTTTCCTTTGTTTTGTATTTTTGTATTTTATTTTATTTTTTTATAATTTTGTTCGAATTCTAAATAAATAAAAGAAAAATTATATATATATATTATTTTATACAAAGCAAGCCTAAATTTAAATAATGAAAATAAAATAAAGAACACTAAAATAATACACAAAGGGAAAATTTTAGGGTATGACGAGTTGCCTCTCTTTGCAATGCTTACGATGCAAACATTAACCGAAATATAAATTTCAAGTTGAGTTTGTTTAGTGAGCTTGCAAAGAAGAAAATATGAGAAAAATAAATTAAAATCTACTAAAATGACTTAGTTGGAGACGGAATGTCATGCGAGAATGCAATGAATTATGAACACAGAGTGCAATGACCTTGTTGTTAAGGACGACCTACTCTAAAAATTAAACATGCGGTGTTATCAAATGGTAATCGCCTTGAAAATTAAACGTGTAATACAAAAGAATTAACCATGCAAGTACTCGAAAGCTTAAAATATGCAAAACACAACCAACTTGGAGGGCGGTCAACCCCGAAAAATAAATATGCATTACATGGTCGACTTAGAGGGTGACCAACACTCGAAAAATTAAATATGTAATACACAACTAATTTGGAGGGCGGCCAACCTCGAAAAATTAAATATGCATTACATGGTCAACTTGGAGGGCGACCATCCTTGAAAACTTAAATATGCGAGTACACGACCAATTTGGAGGGCGCCCGGCC